TGCATCACTGCACAGTGAATGTGATGTTGGGTAAAATGCAGCTATTCTGATCTGGTAGCATTTTATGCCATCTTTGCAAATGACAGCACAAAGCAGTGGAGAATCCAACTCACTCTGTGGGAACTACTCTCCTGGATCTCAAGTTCCCTGCAAGATAGGTCTAAAGTTCCTTGCCCTCCTTATCCTTTGGACAAATGAGCATTGACTATGTGGTGGGGCCAGCTGTACTAAGCTATAATAACGGGGGACTCATGGGTTGCTCATTGTTCTCTATTTTCAAGTGTCTGTGTTGAAGAGCACTTGGGTAATAGAGAATAAAACTCACCACTAATTTCTCTGACTGTACAATATGTTTCCACTGCTAATGATATGCTTTGAAAACCATGGAGGCAGTGAACTAATCCTTGTGGTAAGCTAATTGCTGGAAGCCAGGAGGAGAGTGGTTTATTCCCACAGAAACTGCTTAGGGGACCTACCTTTCCCAGCTGTAAACACAGTGGCTCTTTTCAGAAATGGGTCTTAACAGTCATGCCCACCAATGGCAAAACTTCAGAGTCAGTTTTTATGTTGCATATTTGTTTGTTTTAAAGTAGAGGTCCTGTGCTCAGTGGTTGTGATGTTTTGTTTTGTTTTGTTTTTTTTGTTTTTATTAGGCAGAAGGAACCTTTACTAGAATTGGCCAAGTAGGGCCCAATCAGACAAGGAAGAAGGAATTTTAAGGTCTTTGGGCTCAAATTGCAGTAGCAAGGGAAGGATGTATTTTAATGAATAGTCAATAGGTTTTTGAAGTGTATCCTCCTTACGCTCCATCCCCATCCAGGAACTATATGATATTTGTATCACCTGGAACCTGTAAACTAGGACCCAAGAACATGGCAGAACTACACTACTGGAGACTCTCAAGGGACATGTTTGGTCAGAAAGAATCACACAATATTTTGAGGATTATTATGAGGAATTTCAGGAATCCCAGATTGGTAAATGGCAGCTAATACAAAGGTTCCTGTGCTGGTTTTTGGAGGAACTGATTCCATGGAATCTCAACCTTAGAGTGATAGAAAGAAGATATGTTTTTTGTGGGTGCGGGGGGGGAGCTACAGAATTGCTATCAAGAGAACAACAAAAGAGGGAGAGAGAGATTGTGGCTGGACCATTTTCAGGACCCTCTGGAACATAAGAGATGGTAAAAAGTTCAATAAAGTTGAAAGGCCCTTGAAGGGTAATTATACTGTATGAGAGAGCTCTGGGGTAAGATAAATATATTTCACAGTGGGAAGGTTTTTAAAAAAATGTTATACATTGTCTTTGCCTGGAGTGTTCAGAAAGGTTTAGAAGAGAGAAAGTGCTGTAGAGAAGGAAATTTGTTTCCCCGAGTTGTACCTTTACTCGGAAAGGGTTTTGGAAGCTGCCATTTTGTTCTCCACTAAATAACAGGTGGAATTTTAGAAGCCTAATTTGCCTGTGTTTGCCTGAGACAAGCTAATAGATACTGTCATGTTCAACATTTCTAAAAGCAATCTTTTACTCTCTGCTTCTAGCTCCCCAGAAGCTTAACATCATACCTGTTTTACCCTTCTCTATAGCACTTTGTCTGAGGATCTCCGGGCATTGTACAAATGTCAATGAAGTAAGCCTCATAGGACTCCTGAGAGGGAGGGAAGTCTTGTTATCCCCATTCGTGAGGAAACAGGCAGAGACAATTTAAGTGACTTGCACGAGGTCACATTAGCAGAGGTAGAAATTTAGATGCTCCTAATTTTGTGCCTTAGCCATAAGACCCTATTTCCTCCAGAGCACCCTTCCTAAAGCTGATATGTGTTTTCACTGCCAAATGTGGCTTTCCTCCATTGCACACTGATGCTGGTTTTGATTATCACAGTTTGCTCAGAAGAGCTGGGCTGAACGTTTTGGTTTATTATTGTAGGGTTGCTCCTGAGCACTGGCTTTCTCACATTGGTTGGTTATTGTAGGGTTGCTCATGAAGGATGAGCTGGTGGAACTGATTTTCTCTTTTGGAAAGAAGATTGGGGAATACGTTCAGAAAAGATACACACATTTAAAAAGAACTCTGTGGATTTCCATATGGCTTTAGGAAATCACATAATATAGGTGACAGTGCCCTGATCTTGATGGTGTCCTCCCTTGAGGTCTGCTGGCTGCAGCGACAGTGCAGAAGGTGATGGGGACTGCAGTGCTTCCTTAGGTGGCTGGATGCTGTCAGCTCCAGGATTCACTCATCACTTTGCAAAAACAAACCAATGAGCTGTGATGCACATAGTGCTCTGCTGATTGCTACGCTTGCTGCTAATACAATATTTAGGCTCAAACTTTCAAAAGTGGCTACTGATTCTGATTGCAACAATATTTGGGTGCCCTTCTTAACAGACTAGGGGCCTGATTTTCAGAAGTACTGAGCACCCGCTTCTCCAACTAGGAGGTCTGAGTGCTCAGCTCCAGTGACACAAAATAGCCCTAAAGCTGGCTTGGACAGCTGCTGGAGGATTCCCCTAGTGTAGGGGGATCCATGGGTGCTGTTAAGCCACTATAGCAGCTCTTGGTCCCAACCACCCGCTCCTGACCACTTGAGCAGGAAGAATAGTATCTGGTATTAATTAGAACAGCCCTGTCCCCAAGGGACCTTTCTGGCAGCCAGAGACTGGAGGAGTACGAGGAAAACCTAGCAATGCTCCCTTCTGCTGCTAGTCATGCTGGTTTATTATATGATGGGGTCAGTCCAGAGACCATTGAGCCCCAGCATTGGAGGGGGTCAAATGCCTTTGTACACCCCCTTTTCAGCTCTGCTGAGTGCTGCTCAGCTGCAGCTGAGGCTTTGGCCAGGGAGAGCAGAAGTAGGTCCTTAGCTAACATTATCCTTCTTAGGCTTTTTCTACATTTACAGCCGTGTGTAGCGTATATATGCTGTATGCCCCCTGGCATGGCTATAAGTAGCAGTGTAGGTGGGGAGGCACTGCTTAGGCAAACACACCAGAACCTTGGGGTATGTGTCCTACACGGCTCTCTACGTGCCCAAGCAGTGCCTCCCCTGCTATTTTTAACAGGGCAGTGTCTCACTGCCAGAGCCTTTCACTGCCGTGTGTAGCTACACACCACAGTGTGGACACAGCCTGCTTTTCACTGTGGCATGTAGCTACAGATATCCTCCATGCCTCCACCTTGTAGGCCAGGCCTTAGACTCTTTGTTCATTGCTGTGCTGTAATTCCCAGGAGAGTAAATTAACATTGGGCCTGCCCCCCGTGAGCACCTGGAGGTAGCCAAGTGGGCAAGCTTTGAATGGCCAACCAGTGATATAAACAGAATCTACTGGTTGAGAAACAGGCAAGTGCCACAGCATAATCTATTAAACACAATGAAAACAGTGACATACATGCCTTTTGAAATCCAGTTCACAGCAGAGACTACCACAGGCTTTGGGATGAATGCTTCTTGGTAAAGTCACATCTGTAGTTAGGGAGAGCCAGGGTTTATATTTTATGGGTCTGTAATTCCGATCTTGTGTACATTAGGATCCCAAGGTGGATGGGATTTATCAGTTTTTACGGGTCTTTCATGTGAGTCTGGCACTTGCAGGACTATAAGAAGGTCCTGAAATTAGGCATCCTCCTTGCATAGAGATACAAGCTATGTTCTTTAGTGTCCCCACTCTTCTTACAGAGACCATGCAATAGTAGGGTAATATGCAGGAGTGCTGATAAGAGAGTGAACTTTATTTCCTCCCCCCAGTCACCTGACCTGGGTGAGAGATACAAAGGTTAATACACTTGTCACATAACATGGATCAGTATCCACTGACTCCTGTGGCTGTTGTTACACTGGCTGTCCCCCACCCTACTGTCAATGAGTGACAGTCATGGACCCTCAAAAATATTCCCACTTGACCAGGCCATTCATTAGTGATTAAGAAGCCTTTGGGGACCAGAGTGGAGTGCTGGCAGGAGCCAACCCCTCACTCAGCAGCACTTTGCTTTGAGTAGCACAGGGTTGCTCCTGATAAACCCCCACATGTGGCCAAAGGACTTAAAACCTTGCTGCTAATACTATGCCTGCAATTCGTCTCCAGAGTAGCCTGGCTGGCTGTGAATGAAATGCCAGTCTCAGCCATGGAGTCAGTCTGTCCCGACAATTCTTCATAAGCTGCTGGATTGCGTGGACAGGCACACATGCATTATTTAATATGATAGTAGCGATTAGAATCAAACCCCCATTCTATTAAGCTCTGTACAGATACATTCTTAGACCAAGTTTTTGTATGTGGGCTGTGCATGTGTATGATGGATTACATGTGTGTGCACATAGACCCAGGGATATGCATTTGCATGTGTAGATGCACATGGGTGTGAGTACTCATAGGTGCAGACATAAATAATTACATATGTTTGTGGTTCTATTCATGCCTGTCAACACATGTTGGTGCACATGTCAAATGTGGGTGCATGCCTGCTGGTGCATATATAAATGTATGATGCAGATATGAGAATGCATCTATGTACTTGGGTGCCTGCAGCCATGTGCATGGGATGTGAGTGTGTGCATGCATATAGTACATATGCCATACAGTACAGTTATCGGTACAGTAGCAAGCATCTCTCATCCTATTGTAAACATAGAGTCTCTATCTTCATGGCTCCCATGTTAGTGTTGCCGTCTGTCAGGCTTAGTTGCAGTTTTCATTCTCTGCCTTACATTTTGTGGCCCCTAGATGAGGGTAATGGGAAAGTGCAAGCTTTATACTCTTTTACTGCCATTCTCCATGACTACATTAATGATGATGTCTTCATGTTCTCCCTTTACTCCGTGAGCAGTCACCTAGGGAACTGGACTGGGGCTGCCTTACTGCTCCCTTGCAATGAACGGTGCCTTCTGGGCAGCATGAATGGAGGAGTATTACTGTTAAAACCCACAAGGACTCAACTCCTTTGGCTTAGCTGGTAATTGGATTCATGTAATCTTTTTTATTGTATTCATATTCTCTCCGAGACAGATTTGAGAGATTGACAGGGATCAGCTGCTGCCACCAGCTACAGGATGTACTGGACAAGACACCAGAAGTGATTGGGAAGGTGTGGGCCCTGGAATGGGAAAGAGACAGACATTAAGAGGCAATTACACAATGTAGGTTTGGGGTCTTGCTTGTATCTTAAAGTGTATTCTTAAAAACATGAATATATATATATTATTATAAAATTTATTCTCACTTATTTTGGTGAATGTCCTTAAAAATTTAAACTTAGTGATGATTGATTTAAAAATAAATCTTTGAATAAGGAACTGGGAACTGTGAATAAGGAAACAACTTCAGCCTTGTTAAAATTCACCTGAGCTTACATACATACACCCCAGCTGGGGGAACTCTCAGCCTCCAGTCCCCCACTAATTTGAAGAAATGTCCCATGAAAAACTTTTTTTTTTTTTTTTTAATATTGGCAATTCAGAAGTAGGTAAGTTACCTTGAAAAGGATCCAAGGTAAGCTTGCCAGCCTCTATGGGGGTGCAGGGAGGATGTGTAAGATCTGGGAGAGCCTTTGGAAGACAGGGCACAGATCAGTTGCTTTGGCCTTGATCCACCACAGCATGAGAGCTTCTAGGTAGGAGAGTTTTGACAAGCAAGCAGATTGTGTTCTACATTTTTGATCACACATGCACATGACTCACATTAGCATGTTCCGCAAAGCGCTTGTGTGGCAAATCTGCCCTGCTCTGTGGGTCCCACATCACCACTTCACTACTGCTAGCCTGGATGCAGCTTGGGCAATGGATAGTGTCCAGCATCAGAATGGAATGTCAGCGTCATAGTTGTGCTCGCTCTCAGATGCGCAGAGTAGGCTTCAAAAGGGAAAGTGACTAGGACTGCATGATCTCTGCATATAGCTTGCTCTGTGTAAAGGACCACATCCCAGGGTTGTTAGACTGCATCGGGGTATTGGCATGTGTGGTGAAAATATTGGTTGGGAGGGGGAAAGATACACTGGGTAGAAGAAAAGGTTATTACTTACAATGGGAGGGGAAGGGAAGAATTAGCTTGCTCCCACTTCTAACTTCCGGAAGCATCTCTCTAGTCATATGTGAGGCAGAAAGATGCTATCTTCCCCCTGGAATTTGGGCATATTCCTCTAGCAAAGTCAAACAAGCTTGAGTAGAGAGTTGGTTCCTGAGAAGAGGATTTGGAGAGTGGTTTGTTGATTCAGTGTGATTATTCTTCTCCCTCTCCGCCCCCCTCATTTTATCTGCCTGGCCCACAGCATCAGCCTCTCTCTCCATATCTCCTCCCCAGATCACAGGAATGGCTAACAGCCAAATCCCAATTGGCAAACTGGCATTTGAAGCCTTCATCTCAGTGCCATAGCAGTATCCCTCTTCTTGCAGTCCTGGGCCAGAAAATCTAGATCTGATCCTAAAACCAGGTTTCTGTATGGCAACACAGCCCTTTAAACGTAGACTGCCAGGCATTTGCTTTGAAAGTGCCCTTGTCAACTGCAGATAGAAGTTCTTGGCTTCTGTCCTGTCAGCAAATTCTATGATTAACCACAGAGGCCTTGCCAGGCAAGGAAGGAGTTCGGTACGGTCTGTTCCCAGGTACACAGTGGGGGAGGATGATGTGTAATTTCAATACTTAGCCCTTTTCTCTCTCTAATTCCATTAGCAGATTGGGAAGGAAGCTCCTAAAAGGAAAATGGTAGCACATACTGCCCTAGTTTAGCCCTGTTCAGACAAAACATAGAATCATAGAAATGTAGGCCTGGAAGGATCCTCGATGGGTCATCTAGTCCAGTCCCCTGCAACGAGGCAAGACTAAGTATTATCGAGACCATGAATGGCCAGTGTTTGTCCAACCTGTTCATAAAAACCTCCAATAATGAAGATTGCACAACCTCCCTAGGTAATTTGTCCTTTTGCTTAACTACCCTGACAGTTAGGAAGATTTTCCTAATATCTAACCTAAATCTCCCTTGCAGCAATGTAAGCCCATTGCTTCTTGTCCTGTCCTCAGTGGTTAAGGAGAACAATTTATCACCCTCTTTATAACAACCTTTTTCATACTTGAAGACTATTATGTCCCCCCTCAGTCTTCTCTTCTCCAGACTACCCAATTTTCCAATCTTTTCTCATAGGTCATGTTTTCTAGACCTTTAATCATTTTTGTTGCTCTTCTCTGGACTTTCTCCAATTTGTCCACATCTTTCCCAAAGTGTGGTGCTCAGAACTGGACACAATACTCCTGCTGTGGCCTTATCAGTGCTGAGTAGAGCGGAAGAATTACTTCTCCTGTCTTGCTTACAACACTCCTGCTAATACATCCCAGAATGATATTAACTGTTTTTGCAACAGTGTTACAGGCTCATATTTAGTTTGTGATCCACTATAATGCCCCGATCCTTTTCTGCAGTGCTCCTTCCTAGGCAGTCATTTCCCATTTTGTATCTGTGCAATTGTTCGTTCCTTCCTAAGGCCAGGTCTACACTATAAACGTCCATCAGTATAACTACGTCACTTAAGGGGTGTGACACCCCCCCCCCCCCGAGTGACACAGTTATACCAACCTAACCCCTCGTGTAGACAGCGCTATGCTGACAGTAGAGATTCTCCTGTCCACATAATCCACCTCCATGAGAGGCAGTAGCTAACTACGCTGACACAAGAAGCTCTCCCATTGGCGTAGTAGCATCCTCACTGAAGCACTAATGTAGCGTTTTAAGTGTAGACCTGCCCTAAGTGTAGTACTTGGCATTTGGCCTTATTGAATTTCATCCTATTTATTTTAGACCATTTCTCCAGTTGATCAAGATAATTTTGAATTCTAATCCTGTCTTCCAAAGCCCTTGCAAACCCTCACAACTTGGTGTCATCTGCAGAATTTATAGGTGTACCTACTATGCCGTAATGCAAATCATTTATGAAGATATTGAATAGAACCAGACCCAGGACAGATCCCTGTGAATCATTGATAACTACTCCCTGAGTATGGTTTTTCAACCAGTTGTGCACCCACCTTATTGTAAGTTTGTCTAGGCTATATTTCCCTGGTTTGCTTCTGATGTCAAGTGAGACCGTATCAAAAACCTTACTAAAGTTGATCTATATCACAGCTACTGGTTCCTCCCCACTCCTGGACCACAAGGCTTGTAAGGCTTATTATCCTGTCAAAGGCGGTTAGGTTGATTTGACAAGAACAAATCCATGTTGACTATTACTTATTACTTTATTATCTTCTAGCTGCTTACAAATTGATTGTTAGATTATTTGCCCCATTATCTTTCTGGGTACCAAAATTAAGCTGTCTGGTCTATAATTCCCTGGGTTGTCCTTATTCCCCTTTTTATAAATAGGTACTCTATCTGCACTTTTCCAGTCCTCTGGGATCTCTCCCATCCTCCATGAGTTCTCAAAGATAATCACTAATGGCTCGGAGAGCTCTTCAGCCAGTTCCTTAAGTATTCTAGGATGTATTTTGTGAGGCCCTGCCAACTTGACATCTAACTTGTCCAGCCTGGTCTACCCTGAAGCGCTACAGCGGCCTAGTTGCAGGGGTGCAGCTGAGCTGCTGTAGCATTTTAAGGGTAGACATATCCTAAGTAATTGTTAACTTGTTCTTTCTCTATTTTAGCCCAAGATCCTACACCATTTACACTGATGTTTCCTGTGTTAGTTGTCCGATGACTGCTAACCTTTTTGATGAAAACTGAAGCAAAAGAACTTAAGAAGAGCTCTGTGTAGCTTGAAAGCCTGTCTCTTTCACCAACAGAAGTTGGTTCAATAAAAGATATTACTTCACCCACCTTGTCTCTCTTATATCCTGGGACCAACAGGGCTATAACACTGCATGAAACAAAAGAAGGCACTTAACACTTTGGCCATTGCTGCATTTTCATGCTAAGTTTGAAGGCACCTCTTTCACTTTAAACGTTTGAAATGTAAAGTGAATCTAGTGCTGGAGAAAGGTGCTAGTTTCACAGCCTTGAATAATTGAAGTCCTCCATTTTTTCCAACTCAACTTTCTAGAAAACCATCTCATACTGAGAGCTAACTTTAATAGCAGTGATGGCATCTGGTCAATTAGGAAACAAAAAAATTATAATTAATTCTTTGTTATAACAATCTATGGCCCGCTAACAACCCCCATCCCAAGCTGCCTTTTTTCCTTCTTCTCTCCTCCTACCCCATGAATGGGCCACTTCACCTTGAACAGTCCCTTAAAATATGTGTTAACTTCTTATACTAAACAGTCTGTTCTACCTTGTATTTAGCTGTGACAACCTGTGTATCTTTACACTGCAATTAAAAACCCAGGACTGGCCTGTGCTAGCTGACTGGATCACACTAAGGGGCTATTTAATTGCTATGTACATGCTCGGGCTGGAGCCCAGGCTCTAGGACCCTGTGAAATGGCTCAGGATGCAGCCCAAGCCCAAACGTCTACACTGCAATTAAACAGCCCCTTAGCCCAAGCACTGTGAGCCTGAGTCAGCTGGCATGGGCCAGACACAGGTTTTTAATTGCACTGTAGACGTACATTCTGAGTACGTTTCCCAGACCTGAGGAAGAGCTCTGTGTGGCTTGAAAGCTTCTCTCTCTCACCCACAGAAGTTGGTCCAATAAAATATATTACCTCCCCCACCTTGTCTCTAGAACTAATTTATATCAATCTTTGCAGGCAGCTTTCCTAACAAAAAAGTGCCCATATGTGACATCCTGTGAACAGGATGTGGCTAGACAAATTACTCCAGAGGAATGGGGTTTCATCTGGAAAAGTGGACCAGCAACATCAGTAGGTAGCACAATAAAAGAAAATGTCTTTAAGATACTATTGCAATGGCACCTCACACTAGTCAGGTTAAAATAGAGAGATTAAATGGCGATAAATGGTGAAGAAATTGTGGTGAAAAAGATGATTTTAATGCGTATATGGTGGATAAGTCAAGTCATTAGAAAGTATTTGGATGCAGTCTGTAACAAAATACCACAAATTGTTAGATGTTTATTACCAAATGATCCGTTGGTAATCCACTTGGGCTTCTTATTGGAAATGGTCAGGCACAAAGAGAAAAAGAATTAATCTCTCATCTTCTAGCAAATGCTCAGCTATTGGTAGCCTTTCATTGAAAAAAGGAAAATAG